GAGTGAAGCTGAAATTTGCTGGATAAATGGTCTTTAAATTCTGAATGAAACGACCAAACTAATAAATATTCCAAATGAATCGCTTTCATACTACTTTCTTAAAGCAAATATATGAAGCGTGATATGAAGAGATAAAAAAAAATTGTGCATTATGTGATGTATGGTATTGTGATGAAAATGGGTTTGCGATTTCCGTGCCAGGAAAATGATTAATTATCTAATTAGATAATTATTCATATTATGTTTTATTTCATGAGATACACAATAGTTGTCTTTGTCTTTAACACCACATTTGCGTCATATATTATACACTGGATCTATCTTACGTATTAGCTACCAACAAGCAAATATAAGCGCCCTAAGTAGTGGAGATTCTGGGGTGTGTATTTCATGCACAAAAGTATTAGAAACATTTTTTATTGTCATCATTTGGTTAAATTTATAAAATATTTTTTTGGGCTAAAAATCAACCATTCAGAGTATCGGTAAAAGCAGAACTGTATTTTCTTAGAATGATAATGCGAAGTCACTTACGGTTCCAACCATAAGGGACATGCATTTTTCTGAAATACTTAGAAATAAAATATGTAAAATATACTTTTATCTGAAAATAATATTTTTATTCCAAAATGTACTGGACGAAAACGTTTGTATTTTAAAAATGTTTAAAAATTATTGAAGCAAGGAAAAAATAAACGCGTAGTATTTGAAGTTGAGAAATTAATCATGTATTTAAATTTAAAAAATAGCATTTTCAATTCTGAAGGAAATGAATTAATTTGATTGTATTTGTTCAAAAAGTTGGTCTATCGTATTTCCATTTTTTACGAAACCAGGAGCACGTTTTGAAGGAGTATCTCACCACAGTTTTGTTCTTGGGAACTAACAGCATGGAAATACAGTCCTGGGTAAATGTAATTTGAATTGTAAGAGGTATGATCAATTCGTTTTTAAGTATTATTGGTATTTTGCTAGTAAACAGTTTTGTCTTTAGCACTATATATTTTCTAACATTGCACAAGCATTTTGTGCAGTCAAGCATTTTGTACACCTCTAAAAATTGTCAAATTAACCAATGCCTTATTTTCAAACTCTTTAAACCTCTTTATTTTGACTGCAAAATTTTTTCTCTCTCTTAGGATTTCAAAAGACCTGGCCCCTTAAAAATCATACGCTCTTCAATATTTTATCTCTGACAATGTTAAGAAAGCCTAAATAATACATATCTTCACTATGAGTATTTCACTATGCAGTAATTTCATTTTACCATAAGCGTTAGTAATTTTCGTTTTGCCACACGACAATCAGTAATGAACAAAATTCAAAAAAGGAACTTAAGAAGTATCTTACTATCAGGTAAATTTGAGCAATGACCAGTAATGCCAAACTCATGAAAGTTACAGCGTTGCCCAATTTCCCAAAAGGTTTTCGCCGAACTCAGGCCAGGAAGCATAGTATTTTATTAGCAATAACTGTAAAAATCTTATAAATAAACCTCTACTAATGTTACTTTTTTTATAATTTGGCTCATGCTAATTGTGTAAATAATCCCCGCATACTTGACACTAATTTATTAGTTTTTTCTTTCCTGGTCAAGCGAGTTGTATAGTACGAGTACAGAAACTACTGAACTACAAGTCTTTATGTATTAAAATGTTTTATCACGCTTCTTGTCCGTCGTTTTCAATTATTCAGTTTTATATAGCGATATTTAGAACGAACCGTAAGCCTTACGTTAAGGGCCCCACAGACAGGCGCAGATCCGCAGTGAAAATTTCGCGTCCCGTGTTGCCTTATTAACACGTTCAGACATGTGCGGCAGGCAAGCGGTGTGGCGGCGGATTGACAGCGTATTATTACCTGCGAATTTTGAAACGCAGTAGTTTGCGTTTCGACCGCTGTAGCTCGAGTTTCGTGGAAGTCCGCCCGTTCGGGAGTCTTCGCTCCCCTCTGGTTCGAGCTCTCTTGCTTTTGTTCATCGGATGAGGAAGAAAGTTACCAAACACGGAGTTATATTTGACGCTCCGGTGTGAACAGATCCGCGGATTCCGCTGTCTCGTCTAGTGCGGAACATTCCGCGCCGCACTCCCTGCGGATCGCCTGCGCCGGTATGTGAGAGCCTTTATCGCAATGGACAGACCGACAGACTGTCAGAACGACTGGAATTTTAATATTTCATTTGTCATGATCTTCGCGATCTACTGAATAATGGTATTAAATTTAATTCTTCTGGTGAATTGTGGCTATTAGAAACTAAGCCTGATTATGAGGCAAATTGTGAGCCTCGAAACGTTGTGCTGTACGAATACGATAATAGTTTAATAAATGCAATATTTTCGAGGAAATAGTTCGTCTTAAATATGGCCATATAACTTTCCTGAATATTAAAATATTTCATTTTCTTCAAGAGAAACAAAATTGACTCACATATTTACATAAAACCCTCTATACAAGTCCCTATTTTGTTTCTATAGGCCTCACAAAAGCCACTTGCCTCGTAAATAATTATTTCTGCATGTAATACGGACTCTCTATCCACTAGGGAATATCTCGCTCTAACCGTTTAAGCTCTTTGCGCCAGGACTCGGCCGCTTGGCCGGCGCTCGCGAGTGGACGCGGTTGCGCCGGAGCCTTCACCTCTCCTAAGCGGCCCGTCTTAACCCTTCCCAGCCGGGTTCAACATTTCCCCGGAGGCGCAACACAGCGCGGCCCGACGGCGGAAACTGTAACCGCCAGGGAACCATCCCCGGTGGGCAACGGCCACCGTTCAGACGCACCTCTCCCACCTTGGGGCCACACGTGGTGGGCAGGTGAAACTGCTTTCTAATTCTTTATACATGTTTTTTAAAATCATTGTTGCGATTATTGACGCAACGCGTCTCTAAGCCGTTAAAAGGGTTGAGCGTTTGCTTATCCGTTAACATTTGTCAGTCCAGTCTCGTCGCAGTCGGTTGTTAAGAGGACCGCCAGGTAGCATCTCTGCGCATGCGTCTCTCACCCACACGCCCATGCGTGGGTACCTAGCGTCGAGAATTGAAGAGAAATTAGGAAAGTGGTAGGATTTAGGACATTACATTGGGATTCGACTAAACCTTGGAATGCACAAAACTTTCACATCAGATTGTCCGGGACTTCTATGCGAAACTTCTTGGTGAAAGGCGAGCGACTTCAGTCTGCGAGATATCTCTTCATACTAACGATCAAATCCAGGTTGATCCATGTGCAGTTTATGGCGAACCAAGCGAGTTAACGGCAGGGTTTTTTGCAGTTGTCTCGTCTTTCTGACGTAATATAAGTTTTCATGAAATAAAAGTTTACATTTATAATTCGAAAACTGACGAAATTCAGGAACACGGTATCATTAATGTTCACTTTCTACGACGCACTTCGAATGAGCCCTATGTCAATATTTTTATTTTAACATACCACATAGGAACTTTTCATAAGCATATACTTATTAAAATCTATTATTACTATTATTATTACTATTATTATTATTATTATTATTATTATTATTATTATTATTATTGCACATATTCAAATATTAAATAATTCCCAGAAGTCTTTTCGAAAATACTCTCGAGCTTCTGGGTGAGACTAGCTGCTCTCTTGTATCAACATCTTGTGTCGTTCTATTTTCTGGAAGTGAAGTAACGTGAAAAGGAGCTTACGGAAATTGCTGGAGGAGTACCTAAAGATAGCTGCTGGGCTCGGCGCAGTTGCCAAGTTCGATAACATAAAAAACACAATAAAATTTACTTTTAGAATTATCTTCCGGGCTGGATTGACGTGGTAAAGTGGAAATCATGTTTCCAGACGTTTCGTCTTCAACTGTGGCAAATATCATCAGCGGCAGTGTGGTCAAGGCGAAATATTAAAGTATCATTCAGCTCGCAGGTGACTGACGACGTAGTCACGAACATTCCACTACTGATTTCTGCCACTGTTCCAGACAAAACCTCTGGAAACAACACCGTCCAGCACAGAAAATAATACTAATTGTGAATATCGGCCGTATGAGCCTACATTGATGTAACCATTACTTGTTCTCTTGTTCATAATTTTCATCGGACAGACTGATTTGAGACATACGATCCGTTCGTAAGTATCATATGCACATAAATGGCCGCATCTTAAAGATATGAATTGAAGAAATGAGTGGTAGAAAAACGGGCAGTACTTTTATCCACGTTTCGTGAAGACACAAGAAATGCACAGAGTGGTAGTTAATTCAATTAAAAAAGAAACAAAATTTCCTTCTTTTAATTTTAGGTATTATAAATGTACGTGATTGGGTTTTATTGTCGCCAACATCATTGAAATAGCATTCTTAGTAATCCAGATGAGGTGATAAGAACACATTTTTGACCTGTCATAAGTTGTTGAATGAATCTGATATGATGAACATTAATCGCAATTTAAATACTGATTGATTGCTTTCAATTCTTGAAAAAGTCTCAACTGGAGTTTTAAACAACATACGTATTGATATCGCGAGATTATTTTAAGTTATCCCTGATAATTGCGTCTCAAAACGACTGTATAATCAAGAAATAATATCACTGCATTGCAGTAATTTACACATTGTCAACCAACAACGTGTTAAAATTGCAAGGTGACTTTGCCACTGGTGTGCGACCAATGTAGGCTGGACTGTTTACCAGGTAAATAAATCAGCGAGTAAATACTGGTCTGATTTATAGCCCTTCAAATTTATTATCCTTTTATTTAACTTTAATCTATTTTATGGTTAAATGTAATCCACAAATAATTTATTTGTACCCTTTGCTGTAAGCGTATTTCTGCCACCGCCTGCGCATGGATCTTGCTGCTTGCGGGCCGGGCCGTCGGGGTGGAGGGCGCTGTCGTTAAGCGACGGCTTCAGCGATGAGGGGGAATGTGCCTTTAGCGATGCTCCAATCCGATAAGCGTTTTTTTTGTTGTCTGAGTGGGCGTCTGCAAGTGTTGCCCACGCCCAGTATCCTGCCCACCGGCCTCACCTACGCCACTGTCCGGCACGGACAATACCACGCGCCTTCCGTCGCGTCGCCGCGCACGTCGGGTCGGCCCTTCTGCGTCTGGCACTGGGCTTCGCCACACCGGCGTCTTCACCACCATAAAATCATCATCATCATCCTGCTTCTGACCGGCGAGTTGGCTCAGTGGCTCTTCAACTCTCGCGTGCTCGTCACGTCGCGTCGTCACGTCGCGTCGTCACGTCGCGTCGTCACGTCGCGTGGTCGCGTCGCGTGGTCGCGTCGCGTCGTGACGTCGCGTCGTCACGTCCCGTCGCGTCGCCTTCTGCGTCTGGTACTGGCCTTCGTCGACCCCTGCGTCTCCACCACCATATCATCATCATCATCATCATCATCCCTGCACTACCGGCTGAGGTGGCTCAGGGAATCAATTAATGTCATGGCGATGCCTCTCACCAGACGTCTTGAGGGATTTTCGACTCTAGCTAAGTTCAGGCGTTGTCTGGAGGAGAATATTAGTGGCCGAAAGCTTTGATCGGTGGTTTTGTGTGGTTTCTTCGATCAACACCAGGCGAATGCTGGAGCAGTACTCTAACAAATGGGCCGTGCACCGCGCGAGGTCTCCCTTGATCTATTCACACTTCTTACATTTATCCACACACTTTCAATTACATGCACTACACTATCACACATGCCAGGAAATCAGTCGGGGGCTTAGATCTTGGTGCGGCTGGGGTGGTGTTCTGCTGGTGGGAGACACCTGGTTTGAGAAACTACCGCAAGTCGACGAGGTCGGAACCGGATACAGCCCTGCAGCGGGGGCAGATGACCGCCATCTAACGCGATAAAAATGTACTACAGTTATGGGACTAACGACTTTAGCAGTTGACGCGCTAGGAATCACTAAATAATCAGCGAATCCATACGCAAACCTTCCACGTCATGCAAGGCTGTTGGTTGACCTTCGCCCTTCTTCATCAATACACTGGCCTCCACCCCCCACCACGTCTCGCCTCACCCCATCCTGGACCGCAACCGCGTACCGTTGTCGCTGTTCGACTTGCAAACCCTCTTCCACGAAGGGGCCATGTGCTGTGGCCCAGCCCGGCACTCGGCGTTCAGCACTCAGCACTTAGCATCGCTCAGCACTCATTAGTGTTTGTCCCTTGCCGCTGTTCCCATTTGCTCTCTCTGTAGTGCAGACACTTCGATTATTGGCGCAGTTTTTGCAACACAGTAGGGGTTTTCGACCAGTAACATTATAGACGCACTGAATATAAATCATGAATTTTGAAGAATACATATGTGCATTACATTCGATAATATAGCGAGCGAGGAAAGTCTCTTCGCAGTAGCCCCTTGTAGTCGAAACAGAAATTGTGTTTGTAGCGTGAGCTAGAGCTTGCAGGAAAAGGAAACGTAAATTGCCTATTCACTACAATCAAAATAGGTACCGGAAGTGTTGTCCCCTCCACTTGTTTCCCATTTAGCTGGTAGCTACCAACACAAATACAATTTTTAATGCAAGGCCCTGATTTGGCTCAGTTCGGAGAGACTTTTCTGGCGCACTGAATATGTAGTGCTATACGTATAATTGAATCAAGTTATTCCATAAAATAAGCCAATGATTTCAAGCGAATACTTTAAAATTTTGACATTTAGGTAGAGATTTTGCAACAACTACATCAACAACATTTTTCATCAAGAAACGTGGTAAGTACGATCGTTAATTATGTGACCCTCCTTTGTCTAATTTTCCTCATGCATCTCCTTCACCTTTTCCTTACTTGATCGATTGATTTTTCTATTCAGTAGTGTAGACAATAATGACACTAGAACGATGTCAAATGCCATATCATATGTCAAGTGGCATCAACAAACGCGACCCTACAGTAGATGAGAACAGGAGGTTCCAATATATTCTAGAAATGTTGATGTCAGATCTGCACGTTTGCTGCTGTAAGAAATGTCACGACACACGTGTGCTTAAACGCTTTAAATGTAATTATATTTATCTTTTTTCCCCTCCACAGTATCCCTGTGAAGAAGAGAAATTTATTTTCTATGAATGTTTTTTATATTATGCTGCTGCCTTGCGGCTTAAGCAGATACAGGCGGGGTTTTTTCTTACTACTAACTTACAATCTAGACCTAAAGTTATCTTAATTGCACTTTGGCAGTACTAACTTACACTAAAATCATTTTTCTAGTTCTATTTTATATATTCTACGTAATTTATATTTTATATTGTTGGTAAATTGTCATTATTATTTTTTTGTACATTCACACATCATTCATACTAGTTTCATTATATATATAACCATTCATTCCTCCCATTCATTCGCACTTCACACTTCTGCACTTTCCACTTCACTACACTATTCGCCACGGCACTGACTTGACTCAAAGTGTCCGTGGCGTGATATTTATCTGTGTCGCGCTACATTCCCATTAGCGTGTTCCTCTCGAAATACGACTGTTGTTTGTCCGCCAGTGCGTCCGTTCAGCGGTTAGTCAGCCTTCCACCACTCCGCATGTTCACCCATCGTTTCGAACGTCAGCTAAGATTGTAATGGCACTGCACGCAGTTGTCGCTGTCTGCATCTAGGCGCTCTGTCTTCTAGCGTTCTAGTGGTAATATCGCCGGTCTGCGCCCTTCACTCCAAAGCGCCGTGCGGCGAGGAGGAGGAGGGAGGGGAGGGGAAGGCTGGGAGGAAAGCGGGGTGTGGTGGTGGAGGTGCGGCGGTGCGTTGAGCGTGGATGTGGCGGCGCCGCACGGTGCCGCAGCTCCAAGCACTGGCTGGCGGGCCTTCGGCTGTGCTGGGCGGGGTGCGCGCCGGTAAATAGTGAACAACAAATACAGCCACACATGAGCCGGCCAGCAGAGGCTGATTCTGCTTATTGAGGGCGGCCCGCCCGTGCGGGGGGGGGGGCAGGGGCGCCGGGACGCGCTGGCCACGTGGCGGTCCAAAACGTGTGGGTGGGTAAGCGGGGGGGGGGGGGCGCCGCGCCCACTGGGAAACGACCAGGATATGTGCCGGCAGCGCAGTCCATGAAACCAGACGGCGCGCGGGCCAGGGCAGCACAAAGGGGCGGCGTGCGGCGAAATGGAACTGTCGCATTCACCGCATACCCATCTTCATGACTTGCAGCTCCGACCGACACCCACCCCAATGCAGTGCCCGTGTTTTCTTATTCCTGAACACACTGAAGGTCGGCGCGCGGTAATCACAACGGAAATATTTTGAATATCACAGCGGGGATTCGCCAACTAACCATGATTTCCACGTGTTGCAATTGGAGAATGCAGGGAATGATGGTAATGAAGAGAGAATATATGGTGGAATGAGTCGAGGCAAATGAGAATACTCTGTAAATTCAAGTTGCAAACTTGTTTTGTCTACCTCGCATTCCGCACACAAAGGCATTATTGTGTATTTTGGTACGCATACGTCCGAGTACCACTGGTGAACTACTAATTAATGTATTACAGTGAAAAGCTATGAACCAATCAAATGAAACAATAAGAGGCGTAATATTAAACTTCCCGTGACGAAATGACATCGTGATCACACAATTCTCTTCGGGCAGATTGTTCCCAGCAGCTGCAAAGTGACACCACGTTCATTCATTCCTACATTTTTCAGGGGCAGATCCCCAGAAAATGTTGCCAGAAGAGATTAAAAATGTTATGGTCGAATGTATCATATTACATGTTTTATAAAAAGTCGCAGCTCACACTGAGCTAATTCTGCGCTACGCTTTTATTCGTTTTAATGATCATCCGAAAATATGTTTGCTCGAAAGTTTCGCGACAAGAAAAAAGTAATAGTTACTGAAAAATTTGAGAGGGAAAATATCCTTTATTTCCCTCCCCGAGGATCCGCGACTGTACTTACAGAGCATGTTCTTCATTAACATCTTCATATTTAACATTCTTGCTAGTACAAAAAACGCCGCCATTCCAGTGCAATTCCAACTGCAAGCACCGTGATGAATGCAATGGCTGTGAGAGATGATCGATGGGAGAGTTGTGGCGTACCCGGCGCGCAAGTTCTGCCGAAGTGGAACATTTTCAAGGGAGAGTGAAGCAAAATGCTATAGTTTGTAACATGTGATACACGAACGATTGGACAACGTACGGTATAAAATCAAATGATATACATCTACGTATTACAATCTTTGCAGGTTTAAAAACATCATACTTTTTTCACGCTTCCAATACAAATGATGAAGATGCTACAGAAGTTTATGTATTACAAGATGAAGAAAGAGAGGGAAATTTCATTGGCCAATAGACTGCGTCTAACAATTAAAAGCGACGAGTGAAAATAGCCCATTGTAACGTCACAATGGAATTGCAGCTTGCGCGATGGAAGCTGTCAATCAAGTGCGGGAGGAAATTGTCATGCGAGTTTCAAGCACTGTAGCTGGGAAAACAATGAAACGTTTCCAAAACAAGAATGGGGGATTTCACTACCGGTAATGGAGGTGATGGTGGTGGCGGTGGAGAACAAGATTCACAATGGGGCTGTTTACCGGATAGAACATGCTTGTCAATCACAAATCTGCTTGAATGTGAAACGAATCCAGTTGATGTCTCGGGTGTAGAAGCCAACCAACAAATCGCTACGATAGGGCATCGCGAAAACTCCGCCAACTTGTCAGATTTTGGTCCCACAGACCGGCGCGGAATATCCGCAGACTTCGTGGAATGTCAGCAACGGATGTTTTGCTTCGCGTGTTTACTTATGAGCATGTTCATACCTGCGTGGCAGGCGAGTGTTGCGGCAGCGAATTGGTAGCGTTTAATCCGCGGAGAATTTTGTAACGTGGTCGGAGGCGTTTTTTCCGCTAACGCTGGAATTTCACTGTGGAAACTAAGGCAAAGGTTCTTCATATATCGAATAATTTTAGCTCGTCAGTGAATCTAACACGACTGAATGGTCAGAAAAAATACTTCTAATCGTGTGCAGGAATTTAATTAATTTTAAATACCATTAATAACATTGTTATCAAAATCTTGTACATATTTGTCATAAAAAGATTCAATGCATTTATAATTCTAATTTCTAATTCTTAAATTTTATCAAAAGAGTCACATAAGAGTGTTTCTCGGCCTTTGTGGCATCGAGGTGTAAA